ACAGGGCCCCGTCTCAATACTGTTCTCACTGAGCAGCACAGGGCCCCGTCTCAATACTGTTCTCACTCTCACTCAGTACCACTGACCACTCACAACTCACGGGTCTCAGGACAGACAAACAGTTGTCTGTTTGACAGACAGCTCCCTCTCTTCACAGGAAGTGTCTCAGTCAGGAAGACGAAGACAAGAGGTGCCAGTTATCGTCTGCTGTGCTCTCACTAACTGGTCCTGAGAGATCGAGTCTTCTCAGCTTCAGTTCCACCTGCTCAAGAGACGACAAGAAAGAAAGGAGGAGACAAACTGAAGGAAAAATAAACAGATGGACACAAAGAATAAATTAAAGAAATTAAAGAAGGAAAGAAAAAATGAAAAGTCAGTAAATAAACCAAAGTGAAGAACAAGAGGTTTTTTTCTAATGTAATTTCTCATTAAACCTGTGATTTATGGAAACACACACCCGAACCCCATATGATGAAAGAAAGCAAACATATACAAATATATAAGATCTGATAGAACACGTCTCCGACTCACACCTGAGGAAGTTTTAATTACTCAATAATATATATAATTTAGAATAATGTGTTGAACTTGTAACTTTAGAACAGTCAGCTACACGTTTACTTGTATTTATAATGTTCCTTTTACCACCACTAGATGTCAGTATGGTTTCAGCTGATAACTATTCATCAGATTTAATCATAAATAAAAACAATTAAAGTACAGACTTTCTTATTAAACATACTCTGACACTTTGCATTGATTAATAATTGATTATTGACTATTGATCTCTTGACAGATTCTGACAGTTTCAGCTGTTTCATCTGCTCCAGCTGCAGCAGAGGCTCATGGGAAGTGTTTTGACTGAATTTAAAAGGTTTGAACGCCTGTGATGTTTCCTGTGATCTGTCGACCTCTGAACTGGGACAACTTCCTGTCGTCTCTCCAGGGCTGCGGCTGCTGGCTGGACGCTCAGCGACAGGAAGTGATGTAATCCTGACATGATGGATCCCACATGAAAACAGAGAATTATGGGAACGCTTCCTCTGCCCGTCTAAACCTGGAGCTCCTTCTTTTCCTCCACTGACTCTCTCCATTTTAAACATGTCATAGTTAAGTCAGGATTTTATTTTAGTCTTTGAATTAAATTAGTTGTAATCGTTTCACTTTTTCACTTCTTGACTTTCTTTTCTTTATTTGGTTCTTTTTCTTTATCGCTCAGTTTCCTCTGATGTTAAATCTGTTCTTGGCGTCTGTCAAAGTTTGTCAAACTCTCAAACTCTCGGCTGAAGACTAAAGGGGACAGGGCCTTAGAGATAACTGTCCCGAGGTAGTGGAACGTTGTGCTTCAGGAAATTCAACAGGCGGAGTCATAGGCCTCTTTAAAATCTAAGCTCAAAACATATTTTTATTATATTCCAGAGACGACCTGAGTTCACTTTCTATTCATTTGATCCTTTTACTGTTTCTGACTTGATTTTATTTTGTCTTTTATCTGTTTGCTTTGATTTGTAAAACAATTTGTGACCATGTTTTAACAAAATCAAGATTTATTGTCATTATTATTATTATTGTTGTTGAAACGACACTGAGACTTAAACTCAATAAATGTCTTCCAATAACAAACATTCAGATAATAAATATGAAACCTTTTTGATTTTAATCTTTGAAAAGATGAAACTTTTAAATTCAGATGATTTATTTGCTGAGAGACAAAGTAACTTTAATAATAATAAAGCTAAAGATTTCATATTAATTACAACATAACTGTGTCTGTGGCGCCACCTTCAGGAAAAGATTCAACATATTTCCTCCTCCACCAGCTGAAAGGTTTTTTTGTCATATTTTCATGGGTTCATGTGTCGAGGCCTCGTGATGCTGCGTTCACGGTCAGAAGGTTTTTATTAGTAACTGCGACGTATGAAGCTGAAAAGATGCAAAGTCAACGTTTCCACTTTGTTTCAGATAAAACTGAGCATGGAACACACCTGTGCTCACAGGAAGGAAGAGAAAGGAAAAGCTCGTCACATGAACGGACTGAAACCATCTGCTGCAGAGGAAGCTGTGGACCACGTCTCCAGAGACAAACGTCCAAACCAAATAACTCATGATCTCAAACACACTGATGGAAGGAAGAGATTTAGTTCTTTTAATTCAACATCTTGTTTTAATCTGATTTTCCTCAGAGAGAATTACTTTAGAAAATCTGTATGAATCCTTCAGGGAAATAAAGGCTGAGAGCACAGAGGGCTGCTGGGAAATAAACATTGGAGAGATTTCAGATCGAGACTGACTCAGTTCACAGCTCCTTGTTTTCTCTCTCTCTCTCTGACCCCTCGCTCCTGATGGAAGGACTCACCGGGGGCCCCTGTTGGTCCCTGACAGGATCATCAGCAGAGTCCAGATGTGTCCAGCTGAAAACTGTGGGAGCGTCAGAAACAAGATTTAAGATCCATTAAAGTTCATAAATCTAACAACTGACAGATGAGCCCACCTAGCTCGCTCTCTGAGGGGGCGGGGTTTGACGTTAGCGCTGAAGACGTTGTGAAGCATCACAAAGAGGAACTGTCTTTAAACATCGACTCTTGTTTGCTGGAAACTCGGTTTTATGAAAGACAACCTGAACAGAAGAGTCAATAAAGTTGGCTGTTGTACGAGACATGTCCCGCCCCCTCCTGTCAATAAACCAATCATCAACCAATCGTAAACCAAAGCAGCGATGTCAGACACGATGTCAGAGAACTCACTTCTCTCACTGCGTCTGTGACGTGATTGGATGGTTTCGGTGCGACGAGGCGATGGCGTCACGTCACTGTCGACTCTGGACTCAGTGTCGTGAAAACTTTTAACCTTTGGAGAAAAAATAATTTTACTTGTTTTCGTTAAAAACATTTTAATGAGATTCAACTTTGATTCTTTACACGTTTTTATTTCTAAATGATTCAGATACAGACAGAGCCTGGTGTTTCCAAGATGGCTGCTTACGTCACGCTTCATCCTCCACGCTCCCTGAAAAAGAGGGTGTGGTCACTGCAGTCCACTTTAGATGATGTAAAACCCTGTGATTGGCTTATAAACATCCAATCAAATATCAATTCAAATACAGCTGACAACAGCCCAACAGATCCCAGGATTCATTGTGCTTCAGTGACAAACCATTTCAATGATGCTTTAACTCAACGGAACGACTAACGTAACACATGCTACAAAAACAGACGAGGGTGGGACAAGCTGAGGTCAGTGTTACTGTTTGTAGCAAACAGGAAGTGAACATGTGTTAACATGATGCTCGCAGCTCGTCGGTTTGTAGATGTTGGACATGGAGACGGAGCCTCAGAGGACGACACAGGATGAGAACAATAAACAAACCTCAGCTGATTCCTCCCACATGTTGAAGTTTACTGCGTCTCCAGCTGCAGGGCGGAGGCTGCACAGCAGGAGGATTCTGGGAGAGGTCATGTGACTCCATCACTGTCAGATGTTCTGATTTCATTTCTCCACACAAACACAAACTCTCTGTGTTTTAAATTTCTCTTCATCTGTTGACAACATATGATGAAGATTAAAACTTCCTCCTCTTTCTCTCTCCACACTGTGGGCGATCAAAGCTCAAACCTGATTGGTCAAAGTGGAAACAGAAACCAGACTCAAACTCTTGTCCCTCGTTTAAAGAGGTTAAGCTCATGGCTAACGATGCTTGGTGTGTGTTCAGCATCGGGTGTGTAAGTGTGTTTTTAATCATGTGTTTCATATGTTGTTTTGTATTTTCCATATATTTATGTTGACAAAGTTATTGAACACAGATTGTTTAAAATGAAGAAATACTTCAATGTTCTGTTTGCAGAAACATCTGGATCCTCACAGCTGTTTGTCACAGTTTCCTCCTCCATCACATTGTTAGTGATTGATCAGTGTGATGGACAGAGTTGGTTCCAGCTGAAGGGAGGAAAGAGTTAAAACGTTTCTGGTTCAGTAGGAGAAGGAGGGGGAGAAGTGGGGGGAGTCCCTCCTCACCCGTTCTTCTATTGATAGACGTATTCCCTCATTTCTTACTGCAGAGAGACGACGATGCAGAGCGACGAGGAGCTGAGGAGCCGAGGAGCCGAGGAGGAACATGACTGAGTGAGTTCATGAGAATAAAAACTAAGAGAAACCAGGAGCTGCTTCTACTTTTAAACAGAAAACTGCAACTGCATCATCACAACTTATCACTGTGTGTGTGTGTGTGAGTGTGTGTGTGTGTGTGTGTGTGAGTGTGTGTGTGTGCGTTAGTAGTAAAAGTAACTAAGTTTTGTGCAGAAGTCGAGAAAATCACTTTGTTCACTTTATTAGTTACTTCACTTATAATCTTGTTTTGTTCTGAAGCAAAATGTTTAATTCAGCTTCACATTAACTGACGAGTTTTTATTTCATCAAAAAACTGAATCAAACCAAACTGATACTGAACAGAACAAACATCAGTGAGAGAAGAACGACCTGAGATGACAGCAGCTGGACACCAGGGGGACGAGAGAAATAATTCACTTTTGGGAACCTTCATGTCGTCCATCTTTATTAACTGTTTGTGTTTTGACAAAAAGATCCATTAAATTCATCTGGAAACAGATGTATCAGTGAATCAGTGTCCTTAAATGAACAGTAGGTGGCGTGCTGTTACTTTACACTTTAAACAGCTGAGTTTACGTCGTCACCTTCACCTGCAGACGTTAACGGGAACATGACACTGTGTTAACATGTTAACGTGAAAATGATTTGATTAGCTACATCAGTTAGCTTAGCATAGCTTAGTAAATGAACTCAAACTTGTTTCTGTCCTTTAAAGGCCACAGTAGCTGATGCTCTTTATTAAGAGAATCATTAACGTCCCTTTAACTTTCTGTTTCCAGCTAGCTGCTCTGTGATTGGCCAGCATCAGTATCAAGATGGCACACCTCTTCCTCACCAGTAAGATCACCGTGGACGACCTTCACTGCAAAGGTGGTCCCAGGATCCCCAGGAGTGCCATGAAGCCGCCGGCGTCCATCTCTGCAAAGAAGCTGAACCGGGACAAGCCCAGGAAGGACCACAGCGTTGTCGTGGTGACGCGCGTCCCACATGTCAATGAGGTCCAGCTAACGGCAGCCACTGGTGGTGCCGAGATGTCCTGCTACCGCTGCACCGTGCCGTTTGGCGTGGTTGTCCTTATCGCTGGCATCGTTGTCACAGCAATTGCGTACACCTTCAACTCTCACGGGTCCACCATCTCAGTACTGGGGCTGGTGCTGCTGTCCGCCGGGCTGGGACTGCTGGGCTCCAGCGCCATCTGCTGGAGGGTTCGACTGAGGAAGAAGATAGACAAACGGAGGGAGAGTCAGACCGCCCTCATTGCCAGTCAGGGGTACTGCGTGGCCTGATAAGAAATTGATGATGACGCTGTCGTGGGTCACATGACACACAACCACAACCTCACACAGACTCCACAGACGTTGAGCTGGATGAAGGACGATGGTTAAACTTTCTTCTACAAACGTCCAGTTCTGAGATGAACAGGAAAAAAAACCTGTTTCACGATGGATCAGTCGTCACAGAATGAAACTAAAATAACCAACAATCTTAAAACTTTTGTTCTCGCAGATTTTTTTATCTGTTCTTTGGACAAAACAAGACTTTTATTGACGTCACTTTGACTCTGGGAACTTCTGCTGAGAACTTTCTACGGAGGCCCCCAAGGGTCACATAGTGTGAAAAGAACATTGTCATGGAATCGTTGGGATTAAAGGCTCAAGGTTCAAAGCATATTGTGATGTCAAAACCTTGAGATGATAAAATGCAGTTAAATAAAAGCACAAACTAATAATTCATCTTAATAAAAGCAACAATATCAAAATAAAATATCACTTCCTGTTAAACTAGTGAACCAATGCATCTTCGTCATCATTCAAACAGAGAAAAGTCCGTCGTCTGAGAGGTTTCACAATGACTCTGACTCATCAAGGTGAAGTTAAATATTTAACAACAATAAATTCAATCTGTGCTTTTATTCATTGAATAAATGAGTCAGACTCTTGAACGCACTCTGATAATGTGGAAAGAGTTTATATATAAACATGTTCAGTCTGTAACTAAATGCTGCTAATAATCGATATATTCTGACAAATAAAAGGTACGCTTCTGTCTGAACGTAGTCGCCTGATTGGCTCTGGTCGTGACCTCCGTATATTTCTCTGTGTGTGATTGGTTCATCCTGCAGGATCACAGGTAGAAGACCTTTAGTTCAGAGTGAATGATTCTGTTTTCAGACAGAAACTTACAGCTCGTCCACACGGCGTCGGCCCTCATCACCAAAACATCTGGAACCTCCTCGTCTAACATTTTCTAATTTCCAAACATGAACCACAGCAGATATCTTGATGTGTGGAAGCAAGAAAAAATCAATTTGAATTAATTTAATTTAACTTAATTTTTGCACCAAGTTTTACATTGAAGCTGCTCATGGTTCATCCTCAGGAGAACACGGACCTCTCTGATCATTCCAGGATAACGTCCGGAGTTCATTTCTTGTCTGAAAACAGTTGCAGACTAACGTACAGTGACGTGAGGTCACAGGTCGAGATATGTTTTATTTGCATGAAGACTTGTGTGTTTGATTCGTGCATGATCCAGACGCCATGTATCCACATGTAGAAACTGTTCTTATTTACTGAAATGAAGTTCTGACCCGACTCGTCTTCTTTCCTCTAACCCTCGACGAGCGGCTGGAAACTTGTAGCAGCTCGCTGTTATATTTAGTTGTGTTTATGTTGCCTAGCATCGCACAGACACACGACCAGATAATAAACTGGGGGGGAGGAGGGGGAGGCTGGGATTGCGTCAGGTGGTGGTGACGGGTAACGGTTACAACGTGTTGTCACTTCTGCAGTGCTAACTTTATCTCCACCGGAGCGCAGCTTCCAGGGAATGTGGGAGGAAGGAGGGGGGAGGAGAGGGGATGTGGATGGGGTGAGAGACATCGGCAAAGAGGAGGAAAAGAAAAGAGACACAGAGATGGAGGGGCGGGGGATCCTCGGTCGAGTTTCTGATGAGGACGTATGAAACGTGACGAAGCTGCGAAGGCGAAATAGAAATTGTGTGTGTGGAAATGGACAGGAAGTGGAAACTCCGAACATTCACAAAGACAAATCACTTCTTCTTTTCTTCAGTCGATCAAAACATTAGTCGCAACTGAAATAGATTTTTTTTGAATGAAATATGAAGTATAAGTTGTTATGGTTCATCCTGAAGTGAACACGCGCGTCTGAACCACATCATATAAAGACATTTCTAAAAAAAAAAGAACTGTAACGTGTCCATCAGAGGATCACTGAAGTAACCATGGATACGTGTCCATACTGAATTTCATGTCAATGCTTATTTTGTTAGAAGCTGATGATGTTGCCTCCTAGTGGCTGTGGAGGAAAAGTGACTCGGCTCAGACTGTTAGCGTTCAGAGGGGAAATCCCGACCCTTCCCTCCCTTCCTGTAACAGTGACCAGCTGAGCGACCAGAGGTGTAACACCGAGGCGGTGTCCCCCCTCCCCCTCTTAAACACACCCCAGACTCTAGGCCGGAAACGGGCCTGGCACGCTAAGAGACGGGGGAGCAGCACATTGAAAGGGATCAGCCGGAGAACAGGAAGGAGTTTCTGTTCACACACGCCCTCTATTAAAACTTTGAACTGGTTCCACAGCAGGCGTGAGATCGTTCTGTCGTCAGAGGAGCAACAAGGTCAGAGGAGACGAGGAGAGAGAAGAAACTGATCCACTTCAGCTCCAACCGTTTGAGTCCAATGTTTCTGCTGTTTCTCAGCAGGAGTCTCTGATCAGCTGATTGTCTCCACGGAACCGACGAGGACTCGAGTGGCGACTCAGACTCACACGATGTTTATCCGATAAACAAATTCCACAGCGTCACAAAAACTGGGATGACCAGAGGTGGCGCCAGAAAACCTGTCTCCATTATAATCATTGTGACGTTAAGGTTCAGTGTGCAGGAGTTAGTGACGTCATCAGGTGTCGTACATGTGAACATCTGAACAATCTGAACGACTTGTGTCATGCAAGGTATTTAGTGACATCTAGTGGTGAAGTTACAAATTACAAACAACTGAAACACAAGGACACGAGGACTGAAACTGTTTCAAGACATGAACGGTGCCGTGACTCAGAACTGAGGCAGGAGACACATGAAGTGCGTCAGAGCTGCAGGGAGGCGACGCTCCTCGTTACACAAACTTCTCCTGAGGCTCAAACTCGAATCTGTCAGGCACGTTCATCACTCGTCAAATTAAAAGCTCCTGACTCAGCATCACACAGTGAAATCTACGTCTGTAAAAAAAGATGGAGGAAACAACGGCTCCACAAAGGTAAAGCAAAATCACCTGAATCTCCCCCTGGTGGCTGGCTGTAGTACAGGTCATAAACCCTTCCTCCTCCATGTTAGCAGATAAGACATGGACCAAACGAAAATAAATCTAAGTCCGTCATCATCTCATTTTTCTTATAAAGGTTCATAATGATGTAATGTTTGTAATTTTTACTCTGCAGCTCCCCTGTGACCCTCGCTGACCTCTCAGGGGTCTGGAACCAGAGTTTGGTAAAACCGTTCAGGAGAAGAAACTTTTAAACATGAAGTTCTGCATCAACAGTCATGGTTTACAGGAGGAAACACATCCTTCATGTTGTTTCCTTCATGATTTGTCTCAAACCGATTTATTTCTTGCACCGAGAAACGTTCACAGACATTAAAACACAACTTCAGGAACTCGTGGACGCAGGAGGTGGTTCAATGGGTCGTCTGCAGGTCGATGGGCTCCAGTGGGTCTGGGCTGCGACAGATTGTGTGATAGAAGCTGGATTTCATCGTCGGAAGGAGAACAAGCGACCGGGCTGACAATCGCTGAGAGGCCCTGAAAGGCTCCATTAACCAGGGAGAGGCACTTCCTCTCATTCCTCCAAAATCCATTTCTCTGCATCTGTTTCTTTAATTTTGGGGCGTGTTGACGGATTTAAAGACTTTTTTGAATAACAGCGAGGGGAGCAGCTCGTGGCCTGAGGTGGCTGCAGTGAAGGGGGGGGGCAGTGCCTCAATGCAGGAAGTTTACATTGTGTTTGAAAAGAATGGCAGCGCCTGTTTCGACTGTGGCTCACTGTCGTTTGTCCAGTCGCTCACAGTGACAAATGAGAAATGATGCACAGGAAGTTGTGCCTGTGAGACAGAGTTCAGGGCAAAAAGAAAGACGATAGCAGGACGTAATAAACACGAATGTTCACGTGGAGCTGCAGACAGTTCTGTGACCTTAAATGCTTTTAATCTAATTTGAGTTCACGTTTAAAAAAAACACTGGGTGACATAATAATGTGTTGTTACATGATGATGCTCGTCCTGAAGGTCCGTCCTCCATTTTGCTGAGAGTAGTTTTGTCACCACGTGTTCTTGTAGTTGGCAAAATCAAAATAATGGTGGCTTAAGTTATTAAAAATGAGCAGCTTTGGTCATTGGCTGCTGGAAGTCGAGGATTAACGTCCGTTAAAGCTTCACATCGTCCTGCTGTCACTCTCTCTCTCTCAGCTGATCCCTCAATTCATCGTCCATCGTGGTCTTTTGCTCTTTCTCTCTTTCCGGCCAGCTGTCCATCCTCCGTCCATCATCAGTCTTTTTGTTTTTTGCTGGTTCGTCTCATCTCCCAATATTTCTCTTTATTTCTCTTCTTTCCTTGTCCTTTCTTTTTTTTCTGATTTCCCGCCCTCTCTTCCTTCCGGGTCGAGATATGAAGTGGCATCATGGGTTTCATGGAGTTCTACCTGGAGATTGACCCCGTCACCCTGAACCTCATCATCTTGGTCGCCAGCTATGTCATCCTGCTCCTGGTCTTCCTCATCTCCTGCATCCTGTACGACTGCAGGGGAAAAGACCCGACCAAGGAGTACGCGCCTGACAACACGCCAGCGCCGCCCAGCCAGTCGCCCATTCGCCTGGTGGTCATGCAGAACTCGCCGGCCTCGTCCCGCTACGAGCCCAACAACACGGCGGCCCACGGAGAGCTGCCGACGCCAGACCTGAGCCGGGACAGAGGAGACAGGGAGCGGGAAAGAGAAAGGGAGAAGAGGAGCACTTTGGTGTGAGGAAGAGGAGAGAAAGAGGAAGGTTTTAGACTGACGACCATGAAGTGCAGTCGCGTCACTTTGTTTTTATTTTAAATCTTTAACATCCCTCGCTGGTGTCGATGAGCAGCTGAGGTCAGCCGGAGGTAAGTAGCCAGGACCTTTAGTAACCCCGCCCCCTACATCGACCCCCGCTGACAGTCGACAACTGAAGTATTTTATTTAATCGATTCATTAATTATCTGATCAAATGGTTCAGTCACGTCTTTAACTTTCTGTTCATCAGTGTGTTTGTGTAAAACTTCAGTTGTGTTACAGTGACGATGACACGGAAGAGTTTGTTTTATTTATTTGTGTTAAAATATCACTGAACAAAGTGTGTGTGTTAGAATCTGTTCGTCTCTCACACACACACACACGCACACACGTGTGCACAGTGTCATGTTCTGTATGTTCTGACTAATCATTAGTAAAAACAATGAAATGAATTATGACTGATGTGTGACACCAATCGAGGCGACTGTCACAACCTGATCATTAGATTCACGTCTGAAGGAACGGAGCACATGAGCTGTGACGATCCTTTAGATCAAGGTCTCTGTTAGGAACACTCTGTTTATAAACTGAGTGACATCACGGCTCCCAAACGTGAAGCCGTCACACAACTGTCTGAAACCTGTGTTCTGTGAAATGACCAGCAGGGGGCGACTGCGCTGATTGTTTCTATAGAAGTCTATGAGTCTTATGACTTAATGAATTTGATGCTGATGAAGAAAGTTTAGAAGTTTACACTCTGTGTTGTCGTCATGTTGTACTGAAGATGACTTGAAGCTAGAGACTGAGACTCCATAGAAGAAGCAGCAGGAGATTGTGTTTCACCCATGAAGTGATTCGTCCTCTGAGGACAATGAACGTCTGTCCAACCAAACATCTGCGAATGTGGACTGTGACGTTCCTCGTCTCATGTATCTAATATATAGAAAGATAAATCGGACAATGTGCAGCTCCCCTCCCCCAGACTCAGGTCCAGACCGTTAATCTGCTCTGTAAATCCTCGCCCCCCCCCCCATCAGCCAGATGAAGCCGACAACACAAAGCCTCACTGACAGGAATATAATGAATGGATGGACCTCACTCATCCCTTTGACGGACCCTGTGGTGTGAGGGTTACAGATGTGGCAGCAGCAGATGTTGTGTTAAAACACGTTTGTTTGGAGAGAAAATCCTCTGGAGACGCTGCAGGAAACATCTGTTAATCTCATCCACAGGTTTAAACGTCTCCACGGGATAATCATCTTGTTTATATCCAAACAAACCAGTGTCCAATCAAAGCTGAAGACGAACTCTGCTCAAAATTATTTGTTTATTAGAAAATATTTCTCTGAGGTTTGAGTGGCTACCAAAAGTGATGCCTGGACCGCCCCCTGGTGGCTGGCAGCAGTACAGGTCATAAACCTCCATGTTAGCAGATGGGATATGGACCAAACTAAAACATCAAAGGCTTCACCTTCGCCTTCATCAAAGGCTTCAATCCACGATCACTACTGAACAGACTCTGACTGTAAATGACATCATCACCACCAGATGGCAGCAGGTTTTATTCACTTCTGTGTTTTTTCCTGTTTTTTTTCTCAAGGTGGCGCCCTCTCCTGGTGAAAATAAAACCCCCAAAAGACCCTTGAACTCTCGCCAACAGCCTCCATCGATCTGCAGCACGAACACCAGCTGAATGTGACCTCATCACGCCACAGGAAACAAAGAACAGTAACGTCCACTAATGTCCAGCAGGCCTGATCTCAGAGGGACGAGACTGTGAGACACATGGACACATTGAGGTCGCAGAGGGCGGAGCTTTAACTCGTCACTGTCGTCGTCTGAATAACTGAGACTGAGGCGTTGCGTTCAGTTCATCCTCAGACAGAGTGTCACATCATCATCATCATGAGTGTCACTCACTGATCTGTTTGTTTAGAAAAGAATCAGAGGACGTAAGAAAAATCAATTCTGAGAATAATTTCACAAGAACAAAGAAAGAACTTTATGAAATACCCAGGTGCTCTGTGGAGTTTCTCTTCTTCTGCATCTAAATCTTCAACCAATCTGATGTTAAACTCTTCTCGTGAACAATACTCCATCGTACTTCTGTTTCATAAGGAATTTTACCAACATTTCAAATTTGTGTTCATGAAATGAGACAGAACAAAATGTGATTCTGCTGCAGGTGAATTTATTCATCACCGATTAGATTTTGATGTGATTTGTGAGTTTTACGATAAAATCTCTGAAGAGATAGAATCAAATGTTTTGTGAGAAACAAACCGATTCTTTCTTTTCTGAAGATCTGAAACGGGGGCAGGGAATGTTTCTGTGCACTTTCGCTGCAGGGCCGGAGTTTTGGAGTTTGGAGGTTCGGGGCCAATTCCAACTTAACCCCCCTCCCCCCCAAAAAAAAACTTTAGAGAAATTGAAAATACTTCATCCGAGATATGTTAAAAAAAAGACAAACTGGTTTAATCCCTCCTTTTACTGAAACGTCCAAAATCCAGAACCCCCCCCCCCCCACGCACGTCAGACCATCCTCACTGCTGATTGGCTGTGGCAGCGAGTGACAGATGATCCGAGTCTGTAAAGGACTCGTGCCACCGAGGCACTCGCTGGGACAAATCTCCTTACGTAAAAAACAGCACAGAGCTGGGGGAGCCAATGGCAGCGTCCTGTCCCTGATATGAATTACATAACGACCCCCCCACCCCCACATCTTTCATGTTGGATTATAAACAGAGTATTAGAGATGTATTAAGTATTTGTTTTTCCCCTCTGCTGTTTTTTTGACGGGGGATGGTTTTAAGCTTCGGTTTGTCGACGTCGTGTTCAGACCTGACGACTCATCTGAAGCCGACATGAGGCTCGTTATCTAGTGAGCGTCAGAGGAGTCGATCACTGTGACGTCAGAGGCTCGATGAAGTTACGGTCCAACAGTTTTTAAACCTTTCAACTTTTTCACCTACAGAATAAAACATCCTGACAGACGAAGCTGAATCTTAAAAACACCAACGTTTCTTTTTCAAGGTCAATAAAACGTATAAAGATGAAAGATGATCAGAACTCCCTGAAATGACAGAATCCATCTTTTACAAACATTTATTTAACGTCAACTTTGATTTTTTTTAGTTTGGGCCATGTCCCATCTGCTAACATGGAGGAGGCAGTGTTTATGACCTATACTGCAGCCAGACACCAGGGGGCGATTGAAACACTTGGGCTTTACTGTTGTGATTTTTTGGTTTTTGTTTATGATCTGAAAATTCACAGTAACGGACGTGAGTTTAGTGGAATATACTTCATGTATTATTTGACAATAACTTTAATGTTCATGAAAACAAATGGACGCACTGAGGCCGGTTGGTGTTTGTTGTTGTAGTACTCAATCTATCCACAAGAAGCTGTAGTGCATTATCCCAATCTAATAAAAACTAAAAGTTTCATCTGTTAATTATTTTCTTTAACATAAATACATATATATATAATTAATAATTTAACTAGGACATATAATAAAATGCTTGTTGTGTGGATTTTTTATTTGGAAAAATGGTAAAACAAAATAAAAATTCACTGGCCTCTCAGGACTTCTTTAAAACTCCGGTTCAGATACTACTACTACTACTACTAATAATAATAATAGTGATAATACTTAACAATACCAATAATAACACAGAGGGAACATAGCGCTAATATTGCTTTTAAAAACATTTCATTGATTTGTTTTCTCATTGTTGTAGAAAAGTTTTTGTGTAAAACAAAGTGACCAGAATTTTTAAATGTACTTTAAATCTTATTCATCAGCTGTGAACGACAACAATTGTACAAATTCATCAATAATGAAAAACGAAGCTGAACTGTGTTTTTAATATGAACCTGATTAAAAGAATTTGAGCTGCAACACAATTAAAATCAATGATTCTCGTTCTGTTATTGTTTTTCAAGTAAAACATTTTTTTATCTCATTTTATGAAAAACTGTATTTTCTTATAAGATTTAATTTGGTAGTTAACGTTTGTTCTTCCTGCAGATGATCAGAACATGAACACATCGATGTCATCGAGAGTTTAGATGATATGAAACATGTTTCCAGACAATAAGACGAGGATCTGATCAAAGTTTTCAGATGAAACGGATTCAGTTGTTCATCTGATTATTATTATTCTGATTATTATTATTCTGATTATTTTCCATCAGCTCCTGATCTGATTATAACAGAACTTTTCAAAATAAAAGTTGCAGAAATTAATCCAAAAAAACACCTTTGATGTTTGCCTGTGATGAACTTTGACCTTAAAGACTGATGGACAACATATAGATATATATGATATATATGATACTCACAAATCCTGCTTCTAGTACAGACCTCAGGTGAGTTTCAGCTGAGCTTCAGGTGAAGGGTCAGAGGTCAGGTGACAACAGGAAGTTCTGGGGGAGAGGAGCAGGAAGTTGTTGGAGGTTTTTAAAGATTTCTCTTCATTATTGTATTACTATTTTTATATTGACTTCATTTAGTCGACAGTGATTAGACGATCTGGATGAAGATACTATGGGATGTATCAGGTAGTTTTACCGTGATGAGTTTCTCACTGTTTCTGTTTTGACCTGCTGCTGCCACCCAGTCACTGTGGAGGTGCTGCCCCCTGCTGGCCACACATAGACCCACTGTTCATACAACCACACTGTTGGCCAAAAGAAACGTTTCATTACCTTTCTAAGAGGCGCAGCTAATAAAAAAAATGTAATATTGTTTATTAGACTTTGGACAAATATACTGTAATTTTACACATGACTAAAATTAAATAAA